CGCCTCCGCCATGTTCCGCGGCAAGGAATTCCTCATCGCCGTCCCCCAGAACAGCGAGGAAGCCATTCGCCCCGACCTCCTCCTCCTCCTCACCTCCTACGCCGACGCCACCCAAGTCACCATCGCCGCCTCCGACGGCATCTTCCACGAAACCCTCACCCTCCGAAACGACCAAACCTCTTCCGTTTCCATCCCCGGCTCTTTGGAACTGATCAACAAGAGGATCTCCCAAAAGAGCCTTTGGGTGACGTCCACCAAGGACGTTTCCGTCGTCGTCACCAGCTCCAAAAGCTACACCGTCGGCGCCACCGCCGTGCTGCCCGCGTCCATGCTGGGCAAGGAATATTACGTGGTGACACCCGACGACGTGGCCAAAACGGGGTTGACAGAATTCGCCGTGGTGGCCTGGAAAGAACCGTCAAACGTTTCCATCAAAATCAAAGGCAAGATTTATTTCCGAGGGAGGATCTACAGATCCGGCTCCGTCCTTTCCGTCCTTTTGAGTCCGTATCAAAGCTTGCAGCTCCAAAGCGAGAACGACCTGTCGGGGACCAAAGTGACATCAGACCACCCCGTCGCCGTCCTCGCTGGTCACACTTGCATGAAGGTGCGCAGCGGTTGCGACTACGTGGTGGAGCAGCTCCTCCCCGTCAGCGCGTGGGGGAAGGCCTACGTCGTGCCCCCCAACCCCTTGCAGAAAGCCCACGATTTCATCTACGTCGTGGCATCCAAGGCCGCTTCCGTCTCCTTCCACGACGGCAGCACGGCTTCCACGAAGGAAATGGAGGCCGGCGAAGTGAAAGCCTTTAAAACAAAGCCGAATTCTCCGTTCTACGTGAATTCTTCGGCGGCCATTCAGGTGGTTTTCTTCTTCACCGGCTCCAGGGCGTATTTCGTTTGGCAAGACCCCTTCCTCCTTACCATCCCCCCCATCTCATCCTACTGCGCGTCCTATCGGTTCTCCGGCCTGAGCTCTTATTACAACTACGTCCTCCTCACGGCCAAGAATTCCGACACCGACGCCGTCGTCGCTCAACGGAAAGTGACGAACGGGGAATGGAAGGAAATCCCTGGCACGGAATTCTCCTGGTCCATGCACATCCTGAGCGATTCGGATGGCAGCTGGAGCTCCGTGCGAGAGGACGCGACTTTTGGGCTGCTGGGATTTGGCTTTCGGAATTACGAGGGTTATGGTTTCGCCGGTCTGTGCGCCACACGTAAGTGGGGTCGGAATGGGGGGGA